TTTTTACTAGCTACTCACCTGATATAGATCTTCATATTGCCCCATACAAGCTCAATAGGGTTGAGATCTGGGTGACTCTGCCGGCCAAGACAGGGTTTCAATGCCCCATTCTTTCAATTTAGCCGCCGTATAGCGGCTCTTATGAGGAGGCGCATTGTCTTGTACGAGTTTACAAAACCCTAAAATTGAACTTAGCCGAACATAAAAAGCGATGATCTAAGAATCTAACCATTGTGAACATTCTGGTTGAATGGCAGATAGCATTTTTCCAAAATCCTACAGTAAAGTTCACTATCTATTGTGCACTCTCCCGGCAAGATAGCGAGCTGGGTGGTTCCTCTGGCCGAAATGCCTCCCCAGATGTGCACCTTCGCTGGGTGCTTTGCTCGGTGACGCAACCTGGAGAAATGATCTCCAGGTCTCACGTAACAGAATTTCGTCGAGCAGTCTACTGAAAGATAAAGAATGTGGAAAGCGTAGATTTCAAATCAATGGTAGAAGGATAACGACTAAGGAGAAGCATGCGCGCTCACTCTGAACGGTGCACTCGTCAGTGAACACACATGCTGAAAATGTAGTCCCTCTGTTGAGCATATCTGTGCAGAATTCGAGGCGAGCTTCCTTGTTCACATCTCTGATCGTATTTCAGTACTTGAAACTCTGAAACCGAGGCGGCTCCTTAGCCTCTTGACATGAGTCACGCTGATCGAGAGACCCCTTGTTTTGAGGCGGTTGACTACTTCTGTTGTGGAACTATTGCTCCTAGCACCGCTCAATTTCCGCGACTATTTCGTCGTAATGAACTGAAAGAGCTGTCGGACATGGACATAGGAATAACGACTTCAGATTCCACTAAACCAACCGCGTAGAGAGCGAGATATACAAGATTTCGAGGAGACACTATTGCTCTCGAACTTCTTGAGAAATCTCCAAATGACCTTGTAATCGAGAGATGGATCAACCTACAATTACATGACGATGATGATGAGTTCATGAGTGGACTTTACAAGCATGCTCATTAAAAAAACATCTGAAACTCAACTTCTGCACTTCTTTGGTAACAGTTGCAATAGATTTTCCCTGATGTCTCAGGTCAGCAATGATGCTCAGCTGGTATAAGTAAAACTCTGTGAGATCTCTATAATTGAAGGGAATGAATGGCGAGAGAGAAAATTGACTGGTGAACAATGCCAATCGGAGGTCAAAGTAATGTGTGGTAAAGCTCAGGGCAAAGTTGTATGGGTCGCGTCCTAAATTAGTGACTCGCCGCAGCCCTCAGGTTACATTACATATGTATCCGAAAGTGCCAATAAAGCCGACCTCACACGACACGTACCCGAGGGTCTGAGCATAGAAGACGTGCGCGCAGTTTGTCCTCATTTCTTTCTTTCTCCCGAACACGTCTAGAAACATTTTTGTCGCTATCCTTATCCGCCTAAATGAAATTTTCTTCTATTTTGCCTCTTTTTTTGATGACTTTAGTCTCTCAGCAAGATTGGTTGATGAAGAAAAAACAAGAAATGATGTAATTCATGTTACGTCAGATCCTTTCACATCAATTGCTTCCCAGAAGTATCTACAGATTCATCTAAAAGCCGATTGCCATCGCCTATTTGTAACAGGTTAGTGGGCTAGCACACACGAATAGTCTTTCGAACACCTCTGAACATTTTCGTTATGATGTGAAAATGCATGCTTATCGAAAAGGCAAAATTTTTGAAAGTTGTGTGCAGCATGAACCCTTTTAACTTCGGGTCAGCGGCCACGCTTCAACTCGCTTCCTCGGCGACTAAGGTAGTCGTACCCGGAAGCGGCAAGGTGCGAACAGTCCGTATCTGCGTCGACGGGAGGGATCCGGGAAAAGGCGAGAAGAAGTTTGGGAAACTCGAAGGGGAGGGTGAGGGGATGGCAAAGAAGTTTGATTTTCTTTTGATCTGAGGTGTCACGCATTGAAGCTATTTATTTTTCAGTCCGAACGGGCGCTAGTGGATGGATGATATTGAATAGCGGTGGAGTTCGTGTTTCGGCTATCAATGGAGAAGTCCTATTCCACCCTTATTTCTGAAAGGCTATAGCACTGGTCCATGTCATTCTCATCACCTGAAAATTGCCTTAGATCCTGGTCTAAGCTGGTCAACCATAAGTTTGTTCTCTATCTAGAAACCCGGCTGAATGAAAGATATACCTACGTTTCGTAATTCCACACAGATCTGTGTGGGAATCATCTCCGCAAATGCGCTTATCGCCGAAATGTTCCCTTGACAGCTCTTCAATTTGGGTCAACGAAGGATTATCGAGATCTGGCTTGAAGTAGGGCAAAAAATTCGCTACAAATACTTCAGCAGCACTATTGTTTCTTTGAGGTTCTCTTCACTGGTCACAAGGAGCTATGTGAAATGAAGGCATCATCGGTAACAGACGATGGAGAGCTGGTAGAAGAACTATTCGACGTCTCCACCGCGAATGTACGAAGCAGAAGCCCCTTCGAGATTTCAAGAAGGATGTACGAAGAACAGGACGCCAGGATAAGGGAGAATACAACAAGGCTGATAGAACTGAGTGAAAATGTCCGATGCGGATATGGGGCGAAGTAGAAGTGAGATGATGCTGCAAATGTAAGGCGGTTATGAACGTCTGAAAATCATTGACGCTAGTATTTTAGGACTTCCATGATCGTATCAATAGTCCAGAAGCAGGATAAACTAGAGAAAATGTTGATGGAATCCCTAAGGAGGAATTCGGCGAAAAAGGACCATGGCAGGACTTGCAGAAATATTCGATCATGGAACATTACATTTGTTCCCATTCCTCTCTATCATTTATCTTTTCAGTTGATATCGACTACACTTACGCCAGTTCCAAACACGTCGCAGAATGCGGGCAACTCAAAGGCTTGAATCAAAATGCCTTCGGTTTGGCCCTCGAAGCGGAAGTGTACCGGGACGATGTGGCAGAGCTAGAAGTGCCTGTGGATCAGCGAGTTCGTTTGAGTGATCGGGTCACATTCTTCATACAAAGAGTGAGCCTTTTGAACAGCTACTTTACAGAAAATTATACATATACTTCCAGTGCCTGTTCAAATATTATGACGTGCCTGAACATCTCCAAGGCAGTGCGTGGAAGAGAGTGAAGAAGCGCTGAACAGCAGGGTGAGGCGCGTCAAAGCGAAATCAGGAGACGGGAGAGCAGCTGGCAGCTCAAGAGGGTCTCGTGACGACGAGATCCTAAGTAACTTGGACCTTTTCAGCGTTGA